CTCGCTATGCAGTTCAGGCTAGTCTTGTGCTCACTTTGTAGCCCAGACTGGCCTTGAACTCTCAATGATCCTCCTGCCTCAGCCTCCCGAGTGCTGGGATTACAGGAGTGTGCCACCACGCTCAGCTCATTTCTTGATAATAGTCATTCTTTCCAGGGTGAGATGGAATCTCAGTGTTGCTTTAATTTACATCTCTCGAATAACCAGTGATGTTTGGACATTTTGCTGTTCGTATTTCTTCATCTGAGAAGTGTGTGTTCATCTCAGATGCCCGTTTTTGGATTGGGCCTTTACATTTGGGAGGTCTAATTTTTTTTTTTTTTCTTCAGACATTTTTGATAGCAATCCTTAGAGGAACAGCTGGCAAACATTTTTTCCCACATTAGGGGTTGTCTTTTCACTCTGCTGGAAAGAGCTGGTGGTTTCTCTTGCCATGTAAAAGCTTTTAATAAGATGAGATCCCAGTTGTTCATTCTTTGTGATATTTCATGTCTGATCAGGATTTTGTTCATAAGGTATGTGCATACACCAGTATCTTCAAGAGTTCTACCTATTCTCTCTTCTAGCAGATCCAGTGTTTCTTTTTAATATTTAAATCTTTGACCCATTTCAATTTTAGTTTAGTGCACGGTGAAAGATATGGGTATAGTTTTAATCTTCAGCATGTGGAAAGCCAGTTTTTCCAGCACCATTTATTGAAGAAGCTTACTTCCAGTAAAGATGTCTGGCACCTTTGTCAAAGATAAGGTGGATAAGTATGTCTGGAGTTGTTTCTGCATCTTATAATCTGTTCCACTGATGCTGGGATCTATTTTTTTCACCCATACAATCATGTTTTTATCACAGTAGCTTGCTAGAATAATTTTAAGTCAGGGGTTGTTATGCTCCCTGCTTTGCCTTTGTTGCCCAGAACTGCCTTTGCTATTCTAGGTCTCTTCTTGTTCCAAATGAGTCTACTGCCATACCACCCTGAACGTGCTCAATCTCATCTGGTTCCAAATGAATTTTAGGACAGTTTTCTCTAATTCTGTGAGATATGCTGTTAGAATTTTGATAAAGATTGCATTAAATCTGTGTAACAATTTTGGAAGTATACCCATTTTCACTATGTTGGTTCTTCCTACCCAAGAGCAAGGGATATCTTTCCATTTTCTGATACCCTTGTCAATTTCCTTTTTCAGAGTATAATAATTTTCAATATAGAGGTCTAGATTGAGTCCTAGGTATTCCATTTTTTGGATACTATTATGAAAGGTGTTGTTTCCCTAATTTCTTTCTCAATGAATCTGTTATTCATGTACAGGATGACTCTTGATTTTTTCATTGTTGACTTTGTATCCATCTGTGCTATTGAATTTGGTTATTGAATCTAGAAGTCCTTTGATGGAGTTTTGGGGGTTCTTTTATGTAGAGTATCATATCATCCACAAATACTGATAATTTAACATCATCCTTTCCTATCCTTATTCCTTTTCCTTCTCTTGTCTAATTGCTCTGGCTAATGTTTCCAGAGCTGTATCAAATAAGAGTGGTAATAGTGGACGTCTTTGTCTTGTTCCTGATTTTAGAGTGAAAGTTTTCAATTTTCATCCATTTAGTATGATGTTAGCTGTTGGTTCCTCATAGATGGCTTTTATTAGATTCAGATAAACATCAATTATTCCAATTTTCTTTAGGGTTTCTATCATGAATCAGTGCTGGACTTTGTCAGATACTTTTTCTGCATCTATTGAAGTAATGTGTTTTTATCCTTGGCTTTTAATATGGTATATTACATTTATTGACTTACATATGTTGAACCATCTCTGCATCCCTGGGATGAATCCTACTTGGTCATTATATGTGATCCTCTTAATGATTTGCTACATTCTGTTTGCCAGTGTCTTACTGAGCATTTTTGCATCTATATTCGTTAAGGAGATTGGCCTGCTGTTCTCTGTCTTCGTTGGGTCCTTCTCTGGTTTTGGTATCAAAGTAATGTTTACTTCCAAGAATGAATTTGGGAGTATTGCTTCCCTTTCAACTTTATTAAAGGGTTTGAAGAGTAGTGATATTAGATATTCTCTAAATTTCTTGTAGAATTCATTAGTGAATCCATCAGGACCTGGGCTTTTCTGATTCAGTTTTGGTAATTCATATGTATCTAGGAATCTGTCCATTTCTTCTGTGTTTTTCTATCTTATTAGAGTACAGGTTCTTGAAATAGGTATTGATGATCTTCTGTATTTCTGTAGGATCCATTGTGATTTCACCCTTTTCATTCCTCGTTGTATGGATTTGAGTCTTTCCTTTTCTAATAAAGTTGGCTAAGAATTTGTCTATTTTATTTATTCTTTTGAAAAAACAACTTTTCAATTCATTGATTCTTTGTATCGTTTTCTGGGTCTCAGTTGCATTAATTTCTGCTCTGATCTTAGTAATTTTCTCCCTGCTATGAGCTTTGGGCTTGACTTGCTCCTTTTTTTTTTCTAAAAGTTTTGAGGTACAACACTTAGTGTTTGTTTGAGCTCGCTGTGTTTTTCTGATATGAGTATTTGCCACAGTAAATTTCCCTCATACAACAGCTTCTTTGTGTCCCATAAGTTCTGGTATGTTCTATTGTCATTATCACTTAACTGTAAAAACTAATTTCTTCTTTAATTTTATATGTGACCCATTGGTTGTTCAGGAGGGTGTTACATAATTTCCTTGTGTTTATCAAGTTCTTGTGGTTTCTTTGGCCAGTTTCATTGCACTATGGTCTGATAATATGCATGGGATAATTTCAGTTCCTTTGCATTTACTTAAGCATGTTCTGTGAGCTAGTATGTGGTCTGCTTTGGAAAACGTTCCATGTGCAGCCAAGAAGAATGTGTTATCTAATGTTGTGGGGGTGAAAAATCCTGTAGATATCTACTAAGTTCATTTGTTCTAAAATTTGGTTCAGTTCTAGTATTTCGTTGTTGATTTTTTTTGTCTAGTTGATCAGTCTCTTTCTGACAGTAGAATATTGAGGTCCCCCGTCACAATTGTATTAGTGCTTATTTGATTGTTTATGTCTGTTGATACTCGTTTTGTAGTTGAGTGCACTGGCATTTGGTGCATATGTATTTATAATTGATACCTTTTTCTCCTTGATCATTCCCTTTATAAGGATGTAATGACCTTCTTAATCTCTTGACTTGAAATCCACTTTATCTGCAAATGGAGTAGATAGCTCTGCTTTCTTCTGGGTTCCTGTCCCATGGACTATTGTTTTCCATCCTTTGACTTTCAGTCTGTGAATTTATTTTGAATTAAATGTGTTTCTTGTAAGCAGCATATTGTTGGGTCTTGCTTCTTGATCCATTTTGTCAGTCTGTTTCTTTTGATTGATAAATTGAGACCATTAACATTGATTGTTATAACTGATATGCATTGACTTCTTTTTATCATGTTATTTTCCTGTTGTGGACTCTCTTTTTTTTCCCTTTTTGTTTGCTTTGCCTTGTGGATTCATTATGTTGGGCTTCATGGAGTTGTAATCCTTGTATCTCTTTGTAGAATGCCCTTTAGAACATTTTTGTGTGCTTGTTTGGTGTTCATAAATTTCCTCATTCTTTGTTATGAAAGTATCTTATTTTTCCATCAATTTTGAAAGGTAGTTTTGTGGTTACATCAATCCAGGTTGGAATGTGTTTCCTTTCAGGGCTTGACATACTTCACTCCAAGCTCTCCTTGACTTGAGGGTTT